ATTGTTATCATATCCGTTGATACCCCAAAGCATAATTTTATATATTATATATCTTTCTGTAATAATTATACCTTGGGGTATCACTTTTTTTCAATACCTCTTTGTATGTAATCCCAAAGCATAATTTTATATACTATATATCTTTCTATAATAATTATACCTTGGGATATCATTTTTTTGCAGTCTTTAGCTGATACCTAATCATACTTTCTATATATTTCAAAATATCATTATATCGAAAACTTTGGGATAACACTATAGCAAATTTTGAAATAACACTATAACGAAAACTTTGGAATAACACTATATCGAAAACTTTGAGATAACACTATAGAAAACTTTGGAATAACACTATATCGAAAATTTTGAGATAACATTATATCGAAAACTTTGGGATATCATTATCAAACATGTATCAAAAAACGTGAACACTACTATAATCAGAAAATGAAACTTTGGGGTATCACTAATTCGAAAACTTTGGAGTATCACTTTTTTCGATACCTTGAAGTATTATTTTTATTGATACCTAAATTAGGCAACACAAAAATGGTTATCGAACACGTACCTTATATATCAGACATACTTATCTGAAATTTATCTTAATCAAAATCGCGCGACACAAAAATCCCCTTTATATAATCTAGATATCGAAGTATTAATTTTTTATTTGAATTTTTTCCGCACTTATTTGTAAGAGGCACAAAAATCCCCTTACCTGAGATGAATGACTAGCTGAATGTAGCAATCTCTCTGCTCCGAAAATTACTACTCAACTAGATTGTATTATCTTAGTACCTTATGCCTGCTTTATTAAAAATTTATAACGCCTATGTATATTCAATGATTGCTAAATATTTATTTTTCAGTTCTTTTTTGTGCGGAGTAGTAGGTACGCCCATCTTAGTTTCAAAATTTCGCTTATGTTCTAAGAAGTCAGCCTCACTCATACTCTCGCGCTCTTTTTTCCAATAATTATGATTATCCCGCAATTCAAAAGCAAAGAAATCCAAGGAGAAGAAATTAAAAATCGCTAAGGATTTATATTTACGTAGTAAATGCCCATATGGCCTGCAGAGTAATCCGATAGGCAATTCTTCGAATCATGACTTTCCGAGTCTAGATGAAGATGAAATAGCAAAAATTAAAGATGAAGAGTCACAGAAGTTGGCTAAAAAATGGCTCAAAAATTATACTAAGAACTTACGTGATGCACCGAAAAAAGATGAAACTATTATCTCCCATTTATGGAAAAATGCTACTGCTAATGCTGAAAAAATATGTTCTGGTATTAGCAAAGCTGGCATAATCAGGTCTTCAGGCGCATCTACTAGATATAATGATTATCTTAATGCGTTAGATAAAATTGCGGGCTCTATTCGTTTAAAATTATCAGATCTACTTTCAGAATTATCTAAGCTCAATCTGGAATATAGAAATGGGTTATATAAATTAGTTACACAGGAACAAAAATGCAAGACCGGTATTACGATTTTAGAAGAATATATATTTCGATATAATTTGGAATCAGAATGTGAAGCATTAATAGAGTTCCGGAATATATGGTATAAAGTAACTGGTCTTGAGATTGTTCGTTTTCAAGCATTATCGATTATACAGAACAAAAAAAAAGATAACTCATCTGAAGCGGAAATTGATGAGATTATCGACCTATATTGTTAGACCCAAAGGGTCATTGCTTCGCAATAGTATTATTGGTTGGAATTGCGACACCCACTAAAGATACTTATACAATAAATATTTTTTCGTACATAAATAACCCCCAACTTCAAATAGATTCACCAATAACTATAGTCATAGTCCCTCGATGCTTGTAGCGTATCGCGACATCTCTCACAAACCATCCAGGGATATTCAAGGTTTAAAGACGCTGATTTGTTATAGTTCTTTTTCCCATGAGCAGTAATCCGATAATTCGGGTATTTTTTCACCAAATCTCCTATACTTACATTTTCGTCCTTTGCCACATAGGCTTTATGGATACCATCTACCATAACTTTTATCGCATTCTTATCATACGTATTAGAAGGCTCCGGTTCAAGAGTGATGTTATCTGATTTCTTAAACTTATGACCACCGCGAAATCTCATCCCTACTACCATAAAGGAGTGTGTAACAATACAATCTGTATATAATGGCGATGATGGTTCCTTACAACTACAACAAATATTAGGCATGATTAAAAACTATTATTTTTTCGTACATAAATAATATCGAAGTTCAAATAGACAGCCTGTTATCGGATCCACGTATCCCATAGCCGATCACTTTTTTATTGCGGAGCGAGCCATAAGGCGACCCTTTGAATTCTGGCTCTTTGAGCCTACCTATATTCCACGTGCGTCTCACCACGAACCATATAACGGCAATAATTAACAGAGCAAGTAATATACATGCTAATAGAGGTGACATCAATGTACTTGCCACAGCAGGGATTGCTTCTTCTCCTCCTATCGGAATCTGAGGATGCGATTCAATCAAAGAGGACATATTAATATTATTTTCCGGTTGTGCAAGGTGCGGAGTTATATTCGGTATTTCTTGAAGTATATTGTTGTTATTACCGTGTAATGGATCCTTGACCCTAGTTTCGCTAATATCGATTTCATCACTTACCTTGGGAATAATCTCAGTATCTACTTTTGGAGATGA